ATGAACATAGACTGTTTCTTAGTAGTGTACATAACCCATATATAGATAGCAGATTTGTAGGAATCTCTTTTATTTTCTTTCCTTAGTTAGCACCTGATGTACATGTATATATATGTATCAATACATGGAATAATACACCAATTTGATTCTTCCATACCTTGTTAATTACATGGTATCAGAGCCACATCTGTAGCTTTGCCGGAGTTGACCAAAACTTTCCGGTAGACAGGTGAGGTGCGTGTGTGGTTCATTCTCTGTCCAGCTTTGTTCTCCGAGATCAGCTTGATATTTTCGATCGATTGTTGGTTATCCTCTGATAACATAACCTTATTTTCGTGAAGAACATACTCGGACAAGGTTGTATTACACCAATTTTGGCCAGGTTTGAGTTCTTCTCCTGGTTGGTTTGTTTTTAGGATACTGAATTAGTCATGGAACAATATTCTTGCATCTGATTGCTTGTCTTGTGAATTGGTATTTGTTGAGTCTTCCTTGTAAGACGATTTGTTACAATTTGAGACTTGATATTATCTGTTGGGTCTTCCCTTATCAGAAACTTTGTTGGTCTCTGATTTTATTTGATTTGGGGACATATTTGTTTGGTTCTCTGATTTGGTTAAGTGGATTATTGGAGTGAAGTTCTGTTAAATAGATTGTTGACTTCGTGTTTACCGGAGATCTGTTTTGGTATCTTTTAGCTTTGGGGACCTCTGTTAATTTAATCGGTTTGTTATTCAAAGAAAAGAATGATGGTAAAGAATAATAGTGCAACAACTCCTAGTCCAACAATCTTGGTTTCGGATGAGTTTCTAAAATTCCTTCAAAATCATAAATCAGTTAAGGAATCTTCTTCAATTACCGCGTTTGCTGGATCATATAAAACATGTCTTATCACATCTTCAAATAAATGGGTGATCGATTCAGGTGCCACAAATCACATGACAAATAATCCAAATATTTTTCTAGCTTTCGCTCGCATAAAGCACCATCTCCAGTTACTGTAGCTGATGGATCAACTTGTAGCAGTGTTGGATATGGGACTGTTAAACCAACTTCCTCTATTACCCTGCCATCTGTATTAAGTCTACCAAACTTGGCCTTTAACTTGATTTCTGTTAGTAAAATCATCAAAGACCTTAATTGTTGTGTTGCATTCTTTCCCGATCATTGTTTGTTTCTAGATCTTACAACAAAACAGGTTATTGGTAAAGGATATTTATCTGGTGATCCTTACATCCTTGATAAATGGGAGTCACGGTCTATTGCATGCTCTAGTGTTGTGTCTCCCTTTGAAGCACATTGTCGATTGGGACACCCCTCTTTACCTTTGTTGAAGAAGCTTTGCCCTCAGTTTTAGAATATTTCTTCATTAGATTGTGAGTCATGTCGATTTACAAAACACCATCGCATCTCGTTAAGTCCAAGGGTTAATAAACGAGTTGAGCCAGCTTTTGAGTTAGTTCATTTTGATGTTTGGGGACATGTCCCGTTGTTTCCAAAACTGGGCATAAGTATTTTGTCACCTTTGTAGATGATTTTTCTCGAATGACTTGAATTTACTTTATGAAGAGCCGCTTTGAAGTGTTTACTCACTTTTCTGCCTTCTGTGCTGAAATCAAAACTCAATTTAACGCTTCGGTGCGTATTCTAAGGAGTAGCTGAGAGGAAGAATATGCATCTACTTGAGACAGCTCGCGCACTTTTGTTCCAAATGAAGGTTCCTATACAATTCTAGGCTGATGCGGTCTCTACGACTTGCTTTCTGATTAATCGCATGTCATCTACTGTGCTTGGTGGTAATGTGCCTTACAATGTCCTTTTTCCAAACAAGGCATTATTTCCGGTGGAACCTAAGGTATTTGGAATCATATGTTATGTTTGAGATATTCGACCGTCTATTACCAAGTTAGATCCCAAGGTATTGAAGTGTGTTTTCCTTGGCTATTCTCGCCTTCAGAAGGGGTATCGGTGTTATTCTACTGAACTTGGCAAATATTTAGTGTCAACTGATGTGGTATTTTCAGATACTACACCATTCTTCTATGCACCTCCTATTTCTACAGGTCAGGGGGAGGAAGATGAGTGGCTAGTATATCAGGTTACTCGTACTTTGACAAAACAATGAGATGATGTTCCTCCATCTCCTAGTTCTATCGAGCGCCAATCCATTATTCTGCCTTTAGCACCTGCTCCAACTGTGTTAGCAAGACCACCAATTGTTCAAGTTTACTAGCGGAGACAACGAACAAATGATACATATTCTGCACTAGTTCCTTCGTCATCAGTTCCTTCATCATCAGATTTGCCTCCACCTGATCCTCCGGAAAACCTTGACCTTCCAATTGCTCTTCGCAAAGGTATACGCACTTGCAAATCCACATATTCTATTGCTAATTTTGTTTCCTACGACCACTTGTCCCCTGCGTCTAGATCTTTGATTGTGTCTCTAGACTTTGTTTCTATACCCAATACGGTGAAGGAGGCTTTGAATCATCCTGGATGGTTTGAAGCAATGCTTGAGAAAATACATGCCTTAGAGAAAAACCACACTTGGGATTTAGTGGATTTACCCAGTGGAAAGAAAGCAGTGGGATGCAAGTGGGTCTTCACGGTTAAAGTTAATCCTGATGGCTCTGTGGTGAGACTTAAGGCCAGACTTGTGGCTAAGGGATATGCTCAGACTTATGGGGTGGATTATTCAGACACCTTCTCTCCGGTTGCCAAACTTACTTTTATCCGCTTGTTTATTTCTGTAGCTGCTTTTGAGAATTGGCCTTTGCATCAATTGGATATTAAGAATGCTTTTCTTCATGGTGATCTCCATGAAGAGGTATATATGGAGCAACCACATGGTTTTGTTGTTCAGGGGGAAGTATGGCAAGTTCTGTCATTTGAAGAAATCCTTATATGGCTTGAAGCAGAGTCCCCAGGCTTGGTTTTGGTAAATTTAGTGAAGCAATTCAAGAATTTGGGCTGAAAAAGAGCAAATGTGATCATTTTGTTTTCTACAAGCAATCAACAGTTGGATCTATTCTCCTTGTTGTATATGTGGATGACATTGTTATCACAGGGAGTGATTATGTAGGAATCCCTTCTCTCAAGTCTTTCTTGCTTACTAAGTTTTATACAAAAGACCTGGGACAACTGAAATAGTTCTTGGGAGTAGAAATAACTAGAAGCAAGAAGGAATTTTTTCTATCTCAGAGAAAGTATATTTTTGACTTACTAGCAGAAACTGGTAAGCTGGCTGCCAAGCCTTGCAGTACTCCAGTGGTTCCTAATTTGCATCTTATGAAAGATGATGACGATCCATTTAATGATCCAGATAAATACAGGAGGTTAGTTCAGAGATTAAACTATCTCACTGTGACTTGTCCAGATATTGCTTTTGCAGTGAGTATGGTTAGCCAGTTCATGTCCGCGCCCACAGTTAAACACTAGGAGGCTTTGGAGCAGATCCTATGTTACTTAAAGGAGCTCCTGGATTTGACATATTATACAACAATCACGGTCATTCTTGTATTGAATGTTTTGCAGATGCAGATTGGGCTGGATCCAAGATTGATAGAAGATTTATTACTGGTTACTTTGTATTTGTTGGTGGAAACTTGGTATATGGAGAAGTAAGAAACAAAATGTTGTATCTAGGTCCAGTGCAGAATCCGAGTATAGAGCTATGGCACAATCAACATGTGAGATAATATGGATACATCACCTTTTAACTGAAATTGGGTTGAAGCATCCTACTCCATCAAAACTCTGGTGTGATAATCAAGCTGCAGTCCATACTGCCTCAAATCCAGTGTATCATGAAAGAACCAAACATACTGAAGTTGACTGTCATTTTATTCATGAGAAGATTGAGAACTTGATTTCCAATGGCTACGTGAAGACAGGAGAGCAGTTAGTTGTTTTGTTCACTAAAGCATTGAATGACACTCGAGTTGATTATCTTTGTAACAAGCTGGGCATGATCAATATATATGCTCCAGCTTGAGGGGGAGTGTTACAGAATGAACATAGACACTTTACACAATGAACATAGATTGTTTCTTAGTAGTGTACATAACTCATATATAGATAGCAAATTTGTAGGAATCTCTTTTATTTTCTTTCCTTAGTTAGCACCTGATGTACATGTATATATATGTATCACTACATTGAATAATGCACTAATTTGATTCTTCCATACCTTGTTAATTATAACATGCTTCATTAGAATAGATGCTATCGCGATTGTTCTCAGTTTTCCTATGGCAGAAGTTTTGCACTAATATATTTGAATTTTAAAATCTGAAAGAAAAGAACAAAACACGCATGATTGTGAAATTAGTAAGGTAAAGCAAAATCTACATTTTACAAATATTTGATTGTTTTGGTCAGAGTTACTCCTCCCAATTTTTTCTCCATCGGAAGTCACTGCTCTGTTGAGAATGGAATGAGTATGAGCAAGACAAAGTGCCAAAAGCAAAAAACAAAAATATGTAGTAATTGTGTGGGGAGCAAAGAGATGTAATGCAACCGAGTTGGCCCGGCATAGGCCAGAAATTTTCTGGTGCTACAGCTCAACTTGGCGCTTTTAATGATGGTTTAATGTCCTCGACCACTTGGTACTATCTTGTTTCTCTTTCATCATACATTACTTTTCAAAATTAAATTTCTTAGTTTTCTTCTCTTCCCTACACCTAATCTTACAAAATACCAGTCGACTCCTCTTTGTTACTGTTAAATGATAAAATATGAACCCTCCGGTTATATTACAAGTTTACTGCACTTGTTTCTTCCCTATTCTTCTGTCATACCACTGCTAATTAGTTCCGCTTTGGCCTATTGAACGTGGTCATAATTTTTTTTTTCTTATGAAATCTTCATGTTAATATTTTTGGTCGCGGGAGAGCAATTGTTTTATTGCAGTACACTGGGGACTGCTTATTTTAATCGGAATAGTGAATGAAGACTTGTTATAGCCTTGCTCTAACTGGTGTTTTCAAAATCTGCAGATTATTTTATCACAGGAGAAGAACATCCAGAGACTAAACGAGCTAGTACGGAGTCTGAGGGAACAGTTGCTTCAGTGCAGAAGTAGCAATGAAACAGTAAACAACAGTCTTAGCTCACTGGCTGAATTTGAAAAACAGCAAATTCTGGAGGATTAGACGGTGACATCGATAACTATATTCTATTTGCTATCTGTAACTTGTTTTTTCTTTCTTTCTTTCTTTCTGCTTATTTTGTGTGTTAAATCTTGTAAGTTGCTGATGAAATGTGCAATTTAAGTGTCGTAATTTTGGGTCAATACTAGTTGTGTAAAAAGAAAAAGGACTTTGGTTCTGAAATTAGTTTTCTCGTACAAGTATATGAGACGTGCCCTGGAACTTGATATACTTGAGCTGTTTCAGATGACTAATTAAGGTTTGAAGAGGGATTAATTATGTTGAGATTAGTTATTCTCATATTATTTTTATTGATTGTTTGGTATATTGTATTAATTATGGGATTGTCAATTTTATTGCTTTATCCTGGAATAACTTATTATGAGATTATTATTTCACCTTTTGGCAGGTATAAGTTATCCCCAATGCTATTTTTAATCCTGGTATAATTTATCAGGATTAGTAACCAAACAAGGGATAAGGCGATACTAGATTTTTATCTTAGGATTATTTTGTTTATCCATCATACCAAACGATCCTAAAGCTATACTATGTATATTTTTGGGGTGTAAATGGATCAAAAGGATTTGGTTATGTGTATCTTTTTCCTTGCATATTTATAAGGAAAAAATTACACATTATAGCCGTTCAAAAAATAATAGCCGATAAACTATAGTATATTTTTTCTATATTAATGAATAATATACATATTTCATGTATATTTTTTGTATATTTGGCTAGCGAATGTATTTTTTTTTAGCTGACCGACCGTGGTAAACTTACCCCATTTATAACATGCGAATGCATCGTCCTATATTTCAGTTTTCTAGTTTAATTTTTTGGGGCAAAAATGTCCTTAAGTTAAGAGTTTTAGTTTAAAATTTCAGAACATAATAAATACTACTCCCTTCGGTCCAAAATAAGTGATTTTTTGGCCTTTTTCTTGTGGTCCAAAATAAGTGATTTTTTCAGATTTTAAGAATGAATTAATTATTTTTTTCCTATATTGTCCCTGGAGTAAATAGTGTTGGAATGCGTTAGGAGTATTTATGTGAGATAATAAAGGTTAATATGGTCAATTTCATTAGTAATTAATGCTAAAAGGTGGATTTCTTAATCTGTGTGAAAACATTCAAAAAATTACTTATTTTGGAATGGAGGGAGTAGTTAATCTCTAAATAGCTGTGCACTTGCCCCCATATATTCCCCTTATTCCTCCATCGATTATAGAGCTAAAGATTTTCTTTCTTTTTTGTAAAGATTTTAGTTTTTGGAGTCTTAAATTTTTGGGACCTACAATAAGGTTTCGCTTGTCTAATAATGTCTTAAGCCGCCGCCTGAATGTATGTCAGACATCAATGCGTATACGCAAATTATTGTAAAAATTGCATATTTTTTTAAATATTTTTTAAATAATTTCAGCCCATTTCTCCTCCTTCTTCTCCCAGTGATCTCCATATCTCTCTAGAATTTAATATTGATATAACAATATCTCTTTTTGCGGCTTCACTCAATTCCTCAGACGTATCGATCTAGAATAAATTAATGTTTGGTTGAATAAAGTAGTACTTAGGGCCAGGGTAAAGAATTTCTGAATTCTGTAGTAAATAGCATTCAATGTTTGGTTGGCATCATTGATTGGTAAAGAATGACTAGAGAAACCTGTTTCTCGGTTACATCATTTTCTTTGCTTTCTTACTTAATTTCCTCTACTTTGACATATTTAGTATATTTGGGAAACTTTCTACTTTCCCTTCTTGTTTTTCAATTGAACTATGAAACTTCAGTGGTACATGCTCAAGGATTTTAAAAACTCCAGTTCTAGAGCTGTAGTTCGTCAGTTACAAAATAAAAAATTCAGCTCTAGAGCTGAAATTCGCCAGTTACAAATAAAAACTTCGCCAGTTATAAAACAAAAACTTCAGCCAGTTACAAAAACAAAAACTTCAGCTCTAGAGCTGAACTTTAGACCCGACTATTAGAATGCTGAAGTTTTGCGTGATTGCCTTTGTTACTTCAGCCCCACATGCTGAAGTTATGCGAAAAAGCGGGTACGCTTGTAACTTTTTTTTGCAAAGTAGGTATAAGTTAAAATGTGACACAAAAAGCGGGTACAGATACAAATGTCCCCAAATTATTAGGTGTAGCGACAAAAAACCTGCAAACTTGTATTGTTTGTGGCTCCCTTTTAAAAATTAAGCAACTGCTTTTCTTTTCTTTTCTTCTTGTTTGTAGAAAATTAAGCAATTAATGATTGAAATTGCATTTTTCTTCTAAATAAATTTGTTCAATTTACTATTTTTTTTATGAAAACTAAATTAAAATAGTACCATCATCTACATTTATTACTCCCACCGTCTTACTATGTGAATGACACATTTATTTTCTTGGAAATTATTTAGTTTTAGCACCTTCATTTTACCTTTATTGACGTGATGTGTTCGCCTCATTTCATATACAAGTTCATTCTTTTATAAAAAGAGCGAAAATAGAAAGTTATATAGAACTCTCATTACCACTTATTCACAATAATAATTTTGTAATTTGAATATTTGACGTATTGATCACGCCCAACTCTAGTCCTAAAAAGGATAAGTGGTCGCTGCAAATATAATCCGGTCTAAAAGTCCGGAATCGAATCTCATAGGGAACTAAGGCTTAGCTATAGTTGTTCAATATCAATAAGAAACATTTCCTAATTATAAAGATTATAACGTTTATTTTTATCTAATTAACTAACAAATACTAGAAAGCAATAAAACTATCAATTAACCATAATAAGGATTGAAGACAAGATTAAGGAGCTCTAAAGTTATGATTTTCTCAATTGTCGAAATCCTTCCCGCTGCGTCTTCTATAATTTCGCCTAAGTATTCTCTACTGATCGTGAGCACTTCAGGTGTCGTAATGCTCTCCCGAGCAACTACAACAATTTACTATACATATTCTCCCGAACTATGCTTGCTGGCACAATCTCACCGCTCACTAGCTATGACCACGTCAAGACTTTGTTATTTCTAAACCCACCTTTAAACCTATCGTATTGATTCCTCATATACCTTAGGAGTGACGTTGTTCTACAACTACCTAAATATGTACCCTTTTCCAATCAATACATAATAAATAGGCACAGTCAATTGATGGCTATTCAAAACAGAAATAAGTACGTAGTTGAACAAGTAAAGAAATTTAAAGGCTAAATTATATTAAAACTTAACAAGAATTCATCCTCCAAAAGGTTCTGTCTAAGCCCTAATTAACAAATTAGCTATTCATAATAGTATGCAAAACTACAATACTAGAATTAATATCAATAATGGAAATAGAAAAAGAAAGAGGGAAAAACATAGAGTTGAATCCTTCTCCATGCTCCAAGTGTGTTCTTGCCTCCAAAAGTATTGTGTAACCCTAAAGTAGTGTCTCCTCCCCCAAAGTTTGCGTTTTAAGATGTATTTATATCACTTAGGGTTGATGAGGGGTGGATGTTTTAATCCAACTTCGGATGGGAGAAGCTGGAATCCGCGACTGCCTCCGCGCATTGCACGCCCATGGACGCAGATTCAGCTGTTGAAATTCTTTCATTTCGCAAAGCGATCCGTGCCTTTGCTTCACTTCGCTATTTTGTGCCTTCACTTTTCTCCTTTTTCGCGTCCGTTTTCGTGCCATGCATGAGAATAAACGAGCTCCCAATTCTTTCCATCTCTTTCTTTTTGTGTTAAATTGTCATATTTTGATCATTTATCATCCAAACTCGTTCCTACACATAAGAAACACATAATGAACATATTTCACTTTGAAAACCCTATAAACTCCCGTGGCTCACACAAGAATTAATATGTAAATATACCAAAAAATATGTACTTTTCATCATTTATCACCACCCCACACTTAAACTTTTGCTCGTCCTCGAGCAACTTAATATTAAGAACATAGGCAAGAAATACCTTTCAAAACATACTCAAGCATCACACCAATGACAATGTTTTATATCAACGCTTAGAACCCAACATATGCACTCTTCATACATTTTCTCAAGTTCTAAATTCATGACAAGATTATTTAAAATATTTGTGTGACTCTTCTAACATCCTAGCCTCAAAAATTGACTCCACTACGTTCCTTGTTGTGACTCGCTTCTTGTGCAAACTAAAGATAAAAGTTCCTTACCAATCTGTTGTAAAGCATGTGCCTTTACCAACTATGAATTCAAGTATAATTTAAGGACTCACACAATGAAAGAATTTACTCACTCTCTCAAAGAAACTCATGTGCCCCCAAAGCTCGTACCATAAGCTTGCCCATAATGTAAGTCTCTACTAATTTTAAGCTCGCAAAGTCTAGGATCAATTAGGTCTTCATGGGTTGTAATGTCGGCTAAAGTACGGGTATGATAGATATGGATAATAGTGACTAACCCTCCTAAGTACTTTTAATACAATCCACTTTAACTTTTAAGCACATAATCTTCATGATCACTCAACATATCGCTACGAAACTGTACCTAATGTAGCCGATTGACTTTAACACATCTACATAAGCACTAGCACATATCAAAATGAATTGGAGGGATTTTTTTTAATTTTGTATTTTTTTTTCAAATTTTTTTCAATACCCTCCATAAATTAGTATTTCCAGCTAGTGGCTCTCTCAATATACACATACACCTTTTGGCCTTTTGATCATTCCACTCAAAAACTACCCAATCTCTTTTCCTTCTCTTCTAGCGACATAAGTGCTTTCGGAGGTAAAAGTTAAACAAGATTTAATTAAGAACAAAAGGGCTTCGTCTTGTAATATGGGTACCAAAGAAAAGGTTTATAGGCTCAAATGGGCTAACAAAGGATAAGTTTATCACTGGTAGGCAAATAGGCTGAAAGATCTATCAAAGAAATGCCTATATCATTTCCTAAACTCACAAGACTTAATCATTTTGCTTCGACTCACACACGAGACAAGTTCTAGACTAATAAGGGATGTTACAGAGTACAACCAAAATCTCACCTCATACAATGCACATGACTTACTCAGGACGGCTCAGACCCGAGTCTCAAGTTAAAGCAACTAGCACAATCATAATATAATCCAAACACTAGGAAGTAACAACATGAGTCAATAGACGAGCCCAAGCGTCAAAAGAAACACATATACTCTCAAGGCATATAGTCACAAAAATAAAGAAAAAAGTACTTAGTGCAAATGCTCCAACTCTAAGACCCAACATAAAACATGTCAAAAAGCATAGATACTCAAGTTCTTCCCATTCTATTATCAGTTGAAAAAAAGAAAAAAAATATTTTTGTATTTTCTTT